GTGCTGATAGCTGGTGGAAAGGTGTTGGAGTCTTTTTATTCTCTTTTGGGCTGGTTGATTGTCTCTTTTGCATAGTCTGTAGATGTTGTTCATGTCTATGTGTCTATTGATGGCTGGTTTGTCCGAGTGCCAGGCTTCTAGAAATTCCCTGGCATTTTTGGCCTTGGCCTGGTCTAGGATTGCTAAGAGAACATTTAGGGGAATTTGTTTATGCATCAGCTACCTTATAAGCCAGTTATGAACCTATCAGCCAGTTTGGTCTAGCGGTTAAGACACCAGGCTAGAAAGCGGGAAAGCATGAGTTCAAGTCCCACCTCAGCTAGGAAAGTGATCTGGGGGACTTGGGGCTAGTCACTCTCTCTCAGCCCAACCCACCTCACAAGCAGGGCTGAAATGCTCCCGGTTCGGACTGGATCCCCCGATCAGGTAGCAATGGTGGTGGGTGGTTCGGAGAAATCCCTGCCCCCGCCATGCCCAGCTGAGCCACGCGATCATCAGAGGCTTCTTTTTTTACTTTTAAAAGCATTTTTTCTACAACTTCTTTGGCTGAAAAAATGCGTTTAAAATTTTTTAAAAAAAGCCTCTAATGATCATGCAGCTCAGCTGGGATCGTCAGAGTTTTTTAAAAGCAGTTTTTCTACAATCTCTTTGGCCGAAGAGGTTGTAGAAAAAAATGCTTTTAAAAGGCTCTGATGATTCCAGCTGAGTTGCCTGATCGTCAGAGCCTTTTAAAAGCATTTTTTTTACAACCTCTTCGGCCGAAGAGGTTATAGAAAAAATGCTTTTAAAAGTAAAAAAAAAAAAAAAGTTGGCCATGCCCACACAGTCACATTACCCCCCCAAGCCACGCCCACAAAACCGGTAATAACAAATTTTATATTTCACCATTGCTCACAAGGTTGGTGTTATGAGGAAAATAGGAGGAGGAAGAAGTGTTGGATAATGTTCACTGCCTTGAGTAAAAACAATGTAAAAACAATGAAGATGGGATACAATAAAAATAATAAAAATAAGGCAGGGAAAATAGTGATTCTTTTTCCTCCCAACACTCTTTGATCACTTATCCTCAGCCCACAAGTCTGTCTCTTGTGAAGTTGCATTGCAAAATCACCCTTATTTATTTATTTATTTATTTATTTTTAATTTAATTTAATTTAATTTAATTTAATTTAATTTAATTTAATTTCATCAAGCATGTATTTTATGACAGATACGAGTGTAAACATAATTATAAATTCATGAAAAGAATACGAATAAAAGAAAACATTAGGACAGGGACGGTAGGCACGCTGGTACGCTTATGCACGCCCCTTACAGACCTCTTAGGAATGGGGTGAGGTCTACAGTAGACAGTCTAAGGTTAAAGTTTTGGGGTTTGGGGAAGAAACCACAGAGTCAGGTAGTGCATTCCAGGCATTGACCACTCCGTTACTGAAGTCGTATTTTCTGCAGTCTAGTTTGGATCGGTTTACCATGACCCTGTTCCAAATACTGAATTTCCTCTCCTTGCGGATATTTCAACTGGTAGATGTAATGCTTCCATGTTAAAGTTCTTCCTGAAAAATCTCCCTCTCATTTTTGTTGAAATCATAACCCCAGTGAAAAATGCCAAAGCATCAGACAATTAAGTGTGATTGCATGTTGGAATCCTCATTTAATTATCGCTTGCCCAATTAGCTTTATCAGCAAAAGGAGGCTGGCCCGTCTGGGATTCGAGATCAGCCGTCCTGTTTGCTCTCATAATTGCATTCGCAGAAAGCAAGGACACACGAAATAAGAGCAAGCTGACAGATCTAAAGATTTCTGGATGCATCTCCCAAAACCTTCAGCCCCGCTGGGAATTCCTTGCCTGCGCTGTTCAGACAACCAGTTCTTAATTAAATATAAGCAGATGGTAAAATTGGGTGGGATTTATAGTTATCAGATTATTGTAGAAGACTCTCATATTATGGAATAGAATTAATTTATGAATATGGGGTGCTTACAATAGTTCCTCCTATTCATTACAGCAAGAGAGGCCTGCATAATGAGACCACAGGCACAATCCCATGCACAAGACCACGGAGAGAATGGCTTTCTATTTACCAATAACTTTTTATTCATTCTCTGCTGTCTTTCCCAAAAGTGGCTTCTTCGCCCTTCTCTGCCCTTAGTCCCTCTATGTCAGGGATGGGTTCTAATTTTTTTTACTACTGGTTCTGTGGGTGTGGCTTAATGGTCATGTGACAATTATTTAATATTTAGCAGAGGTACTGATTTATCAGGCTTTTAACTGCTTGCAGAGCTGTACCGGTCTACTCATTTGTTTTTGGAGGCACTGGTCTACCCATTTATTTTTGCAGGTACCGGTCTACCCATTTGTTTTTGGAAGCACTGGTCTACCCATTTATTTTTGCAGGTACCGGTCTACCCATTTGTTTTTGGAGGCACTGGTCTACCCATTTATTTTTGCAGGTACCGGTCTACCCATTTGTTTTTGGAAGCACTGGTCTACCACCACACTGCCTTTTAACACTGATCAGCTGTAGGGCGGCCCTTTGAAGCCCCGCGGCAAAAGTTTAAACAGTTTTTTTTCCTTCTAGCCGATCAGCTGGGATTCAGGAGGCAGCAATAGATTGGGGGTCGGGCCAAATAAAAGGTAAGAATAACGCAGGGAGAGGGTGGGGGGGGGGTAGAACCGGTTCGGTGATGTCATATCGTCACTGCTACCGGCTTGGCAGAACTGGGCTGAATCAGGAGGAACACACCACTGCTCTATGTGCTCCACAGGATTTCCTGCTTGCATGTGGGCATTTATTGATTTTTGGCATTTATTTATTTTATGAACTGGATCAGGCCAATGGGCCTCCTTTTATTGTGGTCTCCAGTATAGTCCTGATTTTAGAACGTCTACTTGCTTTGAATCTCCACTGCAAAATTAGACATTTGGGAAGTGTAAAACACAACACAACATGCACTTGTATTTTTTTCAGCCTATGTATTTCTCCCCCCTGGCCCCCCCCCCGACCAAAAATCTGGTGCTATATGGAAAAAGTAGGATTCCTTCTTCACCTTCTTTATATATATATATTTATAAAGTGTTGTACCTTATGATTCTTTTATTTTATGTACATTGAGAGCATATGCACCAAGACAAATTCCTTGTGTGTCCAATCACACTTGGCCAATACAAAATTCTATTCTATTCTATTCTATTCTATTCTATTCTATTCTATTCTATTCTATTCTATTCTATTCTATTCTATTCTATTCTATTCAAAAACAGGAACAGTGATCCATCAAGATTCCTTACAGGCAAGCAGATAAAATACTCATGCCACTTACCTATCTGCCTTGCTTCAGCATTATTCCAAAACCCAAACTTTTGTCCTTTAAAATTTTATTTATTTATTTTTTAAAATTATATCCTGCCCATCTCAATTGTAAAAGCAAGTACAGCGTTAAAACATTAGATATTAAAATAAACCAGATATGAAATAAGTTAAAAAAACAGAATGAGACAGGATGGAGGTGGGATCTTCCCCTTCCTGGTCTGCTAACCACTTTTAACAGCTTCCTTGTGGTCCCAGGCCAGTTGGCAGAGCCAGATTTTGATGTTAATTATGGAAGGCCAAAAGGCTGAGCGAAGATCTCACCTCAAAGCAGACCTGAACATTTTACGACTCTCAGACTACATCCAGCCCTTTGGCTGTCCCTGTCTGGTTCACATGAGGTCAATTGGTAGTTAGGAAACAAAATAAAAAATTATACCGCGGGTGATGGGAGAAGAAGCTGAGTCATGGCTTTGCACAGTCACTGTGCATGCCTTTAGTCGGCTGGCGGCTACAGAAGGGTGAGGAGAGGAAACACTCACCCCTCACCTGGAGGAGCCTGAGGAAGTGCTGGTCATTGTGTAAGGGGATCCAGGCTCGTCACCCACTGCTGCTTTGGTCAAAGTGTGGCCTTGCAGGCAAAGGAGCAGAGTGCATCCAGGAGCTATTGGTTCCTCTCTCCAGAACCAATCCTCATTTCGGCCTCTTGGGAAAATTAATTGCCCATCCCTGCCTCAAGGGGTATGATGTTCCAGAGGGTGGGAGCCACAACAACAACAAAGACCCTTTTCCTGGATGCCGCCAGCTGGATCGACAGATTCATCAGCATGCCCTGTCTGAAGCATCCCCCAAATGGGATGGGCCAATCCCATTGGGATGAGATCAATGGTGGTATTCAGCTGGTTCTTTCCGGTTCAGGCAAACTGGTAGCGGCGGCGGCAGGAAGCTCTGCCCATCCACCTGGACGTAATCACATCCGTTTTTGATGCTCTGCGCATGTGCATACGCTTACGTTTGCGAAACTGGTAACGAAGGTAAGTGAATACCACCCCTGGATGTGATGGTTCCTGAGATAGCATAGACCTGTCCCATTTTCATAGTCTTAGATGCATCTAGGTTGCTGGCTTGCAACCATTAAACATAACATCATGACATACACAACCAGTGGTGGGTTTCTACCGGTTCGGCCTGGTTCGGGGGAGCCAGTAGCGACGATGGTGAGCTGAGAGTGAGGTTAGGTTGGCCCTCCTGCCCGCCCCTGCACTTTACATACCTTACATTTGGTCAGTTTTAGCCCAGCTGAAAGGCGCGGCAGAGCGGATTGCCGTGTCTCAGCTGTTCCCTAATACACTGCGCTTGCGTGGAGCACAAGTTTGGCGTGTGTGCGAGTGAAACTAGCACATACGCGCCAAGTGTGTGTGAAGTGCATGATGAAGCAAACCGGTGGTGACACCAGCTAAAACCCACCACTGTACATAATGTGTCTCTTTAACTAAGGGAAGGATCTGCTGAACGATTCTATCCCTCCAATTTCTACGTAAGTTTATCTCACACAATAAAACCAACACCCACAAAAATTATTTGTCTTTTTGGAACTCGGGATAGCTCTCTGTCTTTTGATCTCTGCAGGGCGTGCTGTCTTTCCTTTCGAAGATCTCCCAATCCCCAAAGCCCCCTGTAAATACTTACTTTCTGTATCAGATGTTCTGTGAACAGTTACCATTGGAATTCGTGGACCTTGAAAAAAAGGAAAGAAAATGCATTTAGATTTTAAAAAATGCATCTAAAGTGATATTCAGGGCTAGATGTTAAATCCCTGCCCTATTACATGGAAAGCTGATCTAAGCAACCAGTTACCCAAAGATAATTAATAGACACCAACCAAAAACATGGAAGATAGACAGACTCTCCCAGTGGAACACCGGCTTGCTTTATCTTCTCTAATTTGTCAATATTTTAATTAGTGCAAACACAATTAAAAGAATTTGTTTTAGATTATTTTAATGTCATACTATGTATATGACACAAAGGATTATACTTCTCAGATAACTCATTGTGCGAAGGAGAAAGTAAAGCTCTAAGAACGCGAACATTTCTAGCAGGATATAAATTGATCTTTAAGCATTGCTTCCTGCCAGCTTTGTCTACAGTGATGTTGCCTTCTTCTTCTTCTTCTTCTTCTTCTTTTTTTTAAAGTACAATCTCCTAGACACCAAAATGCATCCACCCTGTTTGATTCAGAAATCAAAACAGGACAGGTTATGTTTGAACCAATTCAAATTCAAGTTCAGCATTCAACACCATCATTCCAGACACTCTTCTAACTAAGCTAAATCAGCTAGCGGTATCTGAACACACTTGTAAATGGATCATAAGCTTCCTAACAGACAGGAAGCAGCTGGTGAAGCTAAGCAGAATCACATCAGATACCTGTACAATTAGCACAGGGGCCCCACAAGGCTGCGTGCTCTCTTCACTTCTCTTCTCTCTGTATACCAATGACTGCATCTCAAACGATCCATCTGTTCAACTACTGAAGTTTGCAAATGACACAACAGTGATCGGTTTCATTTGAGACAATGATGAACCCGCATACAGACAGGAGATTGAACAACTAGCCTCGTGGTGTGACCAGAACAATCTGGAACTGAACACACTCAAAACCGTAGAAATGGTGGTGGACTTTAGGAGAAACCCTCCCATACTACCACCTCTTACAATGCTAGACAACACAGTATCAACAGTAGAGACCTTCAAATTTCTAGGTTCTACCATATCTCAAGACCTAAAATGGACAACTAACATCGAAAACGTCATCAAAAAAGCACAACAAAGAATGGTTTTTTTTGCACCAACTCAGGAAGCTCAAACTGCCCAAGGAGCTGCTGATACAGTTCTACAGAGGAATTATTGAGTCTGTCATCTGCACCTCTATAACTGTCTGGTTTGGTTCCACAACCCAACAAGACAGACACAGACTTCAGAGGATAATTAGAACTGCAGAAAAAACAATTGCTACCAACCTGCGTTCCATTGAAGACCTGTATACTGCATGAGTCAAAAAGAGGGCTGTAAAAATATTTACAGACCCCTCACATCCTGGACATAAACTGTTTCAACTCCTACCCTCGAAACGATGCTATAGAGCACTGCACACCAGAACAACTAGACACAAGAACCTTTTTTTCCCGAACGCCATCACTCTGCTAAACAAATAATTCCCAAAACACTGTCAAACTATTTACTAAGTCTGCACTACTATTAATCTTCCCATCATTCCTATCACCCATCTCCTCCCACTTATGATTGTATGACTGTGACCTTGTTGCTGGTATCCTTAAGATTTATATTGACTGTTTCCCTATGACTATCATTAAGTGTTGTACCTTATGATTCTTGACGAATGTATCTTTTCTTTTATGTACACATATACACCAAGACAAATTCCTTGTGTGTCCAATATACATTTGGCCAATAAAGAATTCTATTCTATTCTAAAAATGGCCATGTATGTGTTACAGCCATCTTCTCAATGGGTCAGCTAAAGCCACCCATGATACCTGGATGTTTGAAAGTTCCAAATGGGAACTTCCAACCCCAAAGATTGCAATCAATCAGTGCATATATTCCTAGAGTAGCACATGAAATGAAAATAAAGAAGGAATCTTTCTGGTCAAAGGAAGGGAATGTATAGCCCTGAATTATCAACAGTAGTTTTCCACTTGTGACTGGTCGCTTAGTGGCATTTGTAGTTATGAAGGACTTGTCAGGAGACTGTTTATAACTCAGGTAGTTCCCCCCCACCCTGTGGTCATGTGATAGAACCTTGGGCACTCAGTAGTTGTACTGTATTTATAGTGCCCATAGTCACATGACCATGTTTCAAGAGTTTTGCTGAAAATTGGCATTTATTTCCAGCTTTTTAAGTAAAACAGCACTCCTAGAGAACCATTGGTTCACTTAAGGACCATGCCATTTGCTTTACAACCACAATGTTTGCTTAACAACTGTCATGACATTTTTTTTTTTACGACTGCCCTTATGACCATGATAGGCGAGCTCCCATCATGGGTTATAATGGCAGCTAGCTCCCCAATTACAATCGAGACTACTTGGAATTGTGAGGTTAGCTGTATAAATAATGTCAAGGACACTTATTTGGATTTGAAGGTGCTCGACATGTTCCTTGCCAAGTAGCTTTGCCCTCTCCATTTTATTTTTTAACATTCTTTAATGAAAAATGATGAATAATGCAAAGCAAGGCAATTCAATATAGACGCAGCTGCTTGGCAATAGGTACAGTATGCATTCACAGTGGCTGTACTGGCATCATATGATTGCCATTTGCAACGTTCCCAGCTAGCTTCTGACAAAGAGAGTTAATGAGGGAGCCAAATTCACTTAATGATTGTATGATTCACTTAGCAACTAGGGCAAAAGGTCATTAAGTCAGGCACAAATCACTTAACAACCACTTTTCTTAGGAATGGAAATTCTGGTCCCAATTGTTTTCATAAGTTAGGACTACCTGTATCACCTCTTTTTAAGTGCATTGGAACAGGTGTGTAAAAATGAGTTGAGCTTGATTGTGCAGTTGTGGTGGCCATTGGCTTTTTTAAAACCCCTTCCTGCAGTTACCTCTGGAAGCTTCATAAAAACAAAATGCCTTAATCTCAAAAGTATTTCAAAGGCCCAGCACCAGAGGTGGGTTTCAGCAGGTTCTGACCAGTTCGGGAGAACTGGTAGCAGAAATTTTGAGTAGTTCAGAGAACCGGTAAATATCACCTCTGACTGGCCCCGCCCCCATCTATTCTCTGCCTCCCGAGTCCCAGCTGATCGGGAGGAAATGGGGATTTTGCAGTAACCTTCCCCTGGATTGAGGAGGGAATGGAGATTTTACAGTATCCTTCCCCTGCCATGCCCACTAAGCCATGCCACGTCCACCAAGCCACACCCACAGAACTGGTAGTAAAAATTTTTGAAACCCACCACTGCCAAGCACCTGTATTTTGAACTGAACTGAGCAAGAAATATGCTGGATATCCAGAATATAGAATATGGAATCAGGGTATCCAAGCTTCAGTTAAGGATCAATGGGAAATGTCATTGTGCTCTGTCAAAATTACTGAGAAGTAAAAGGAATGTTGGGGTCTTCTAACAAGAGATAGAAAGAGGGAAGGGGATGGAGGAAAGTTTGAAACTGGAAAAAGAGATATTTTCCAAAGAGCACCAAGCTTGTTTTCTTCCTAAGTTGGCAGAGGAATGTTACATGATTAAAAAGAGGCATTATTCCAGAAAAAAACTGAATGAACTGTTATGGGTTATTCTATACCCGTGATGGCGAACCTATGGCACGCGTGCTACAGGTGGCACGTGGAGCCATATTGGTGGGCACGCAAGCTCAGCTCCAGCGTGCATGTGTGCGCTGGCCAACTTATTTTCAGGCCTTTTGGGCCCACTGGAAGTCAGGAAACATGCTATTTCTGGCCTCCGAAGGACCTCTGGGGAGGGAGGGAGGGAGGCCCGTTTTTTGCTCTCTCCCAGCTCCAAAGCCTTTCTAGGAGCCTGGGAGAGCAAAAAATGGGCCTTCCAGTCCCACCGGAAGTCAGCAAATGGGTCATTTCAGGCCTCTGCAGGGGTGGGGAAGGCTGTTTTTCGCCCTCCCCAGGCTTCTAGAAAGGCTCTGGCGCCTAGGGAGAGTGAAAAACAGGCCTACCAGGCCCACCAAGCCATTGCATGCCAAAACTGGGGGGAACACGAAGGGGTGTGTGTGTGTGTGCATGTATGCGCGGGGGGGGCACATAGAATAATGGGTGTAGGCACGTGTGCTCGCGACTCCTCCATGCTCCCTACGCTATTGGCACACGATGGCAAAAAGGTTAGCCATCACTGTTCTATAGCAATCTTTCTAAAGATATTTGCATGCTCCCTTGAGAGCTATGGACTTCATTTTTTAAATTTATTCTACATTTATATAGCTGTTTTCATCCCACAACCTGTTTTCTCCTTTTGCACAGTCCTTTATGCTATACTGAGGAAAACCCGGGGGGGGGGGGAAACAATTAAGGAAGCTTTAAAGAAATCAAGTTTGTCATTTAATGTGCAGCATTTCTGAAATATTGTTTCACTACATTGCAAAACATTTTCCTTGCAAACATTCATGTATTAATGTTTTCCTGAGTAAAAGCCAAATTCAACACCTCTAAACACTGGGAATACATAATGCTTTTGTGTGTACACATATATGTTACTTCCAGATGAATGTACCCTTGCAATCAATATTTTTCTCTCTCTTCTTTCATTTAGTGATTGACTCTTTTCCCATTTCCCACATTTTAAAATAGGTGCAAATGTACCCACGGTGATATATTTTCTTTGATGTTGTCAGAAAAGAAAATCCGTACTATGAGAACACACAAAACAACAATTTTTGCTATTCAAGTATTCGGTTGCTCAGGGAATTGCCAAAAAAATAAATAAAATGATTTACTTTGTTTGCATCACCTAAAAGACTGATCAATAGTTAGAAATAATATTAAAATTATTTTATTAGTCTAGAGTCTAGACTATCTTTCCCCACTATTTTTCTCTTAGTTACATTATGGTCACAAATGCTATTTTCCATCCATCCATGATGAAACTAACAAAATCATTAGCCACCTAGATCTGGGGCCAAAGGAAATAATTAAAAGTGACACATGTTTTTGGAAAATCCTTTTTTTTTTTTTGCCTTTCCAAAGCACTGTGTGAGTCTGTGTGCCTGTGTTATGTTTTGTTTTTTAAATAAGAATTAATAACAGAGATGGGCAGCGTATAAATTTTAAAAACCAATAAAATTAAATAATATAAAGCCAATAAAAAATCATGATCATGAGTAATTGGTATTCTGGGATAACTATCAAGAAACATAAAAATGTGGGAAAGGTTTTTTTTTTTAAAAAAAAAGGTGAGAAGGAAATAAATGATGTATTCTTTTTTAATGGTTGAAAATAAAAATAAAAAGCCCTCTCTTTCAAATCAGAAAATTTCAGAGAAACAAATCTTTTCCTACAGAACCAACACTGAAAATGGTCTACTACATCATGGTATCTTTTCAGCAATGATGAATGATTTAAAAGAGCAGCTGGAGATATGGAGATCGCAGGCAGCCCCTGGATGCTACAAAGGGGCTAATTGGCAAGAGCAGATCTCCCCTCCCTGAGGCCTCCCCCCCTCCCCTCCCAACCCAGCATATGGCTTCCGGGATCTCTTTATTTGCTAGGCCATGAATTATGGATCACTAAGTTGCATTGAAATCTCATATATACCAAGGCCGTATTATCATACTAATAAACAAAGACGCCAGGAGCACTTTTCAATCCCTGGCTGTAATTAAAAGCTGTGTGCTGCCAGTAATATTCTCTGAGTCAATAACAGAGACAAATGTTTCTGGCATTTGCTGGTGATCACAGATTTCTTTTCTTTAAGGCCCTGAATGGTGGGGTTTTTTGAGCTTTGAAAGTATTGGCAAACAGCCTCCCCCCCGCCCCCACTTCGATAACAGGGGTAGCTTCAGGGGGTTGGGTCACAAAAACTCAAGATGCTATGGAAGTCGTGGCCATTTTTGATGTGTGTCGCCACAGCATCCTTGATCTTTTTCAAATCTCTTCTGCAGACTTTCCGAATACATACATACATACATACATATCACATATGTGTGTGGATGTGTGTATGCAACAAAAATATAGCACAAACAAAACAAAAGTCCCCACTTAGCCAAGAAAGCCAGATGGGTAACCTTGGAACAATCCCTCTCACAGACCAACCCACCTCACAGGGCTCTTGAGGGAAAAATAGGAAGAGAAGGTTAAATATCTTGAAGTGTTGAATATCTAAAGAGATTTTCAGTCATCCAGGTCTTAGATTTCCCAAAAGTGCTTTTTTCAAGAGGCAACTGGACTTTTTGGTTTTTCTTTGAAGACGTTTTGCTTCTCATCCAAGAAGCTTCTTCACCTTCTCATCCAAGAAGTTTCTTCAGCTTCTTGGAGAGCTGAAGAAGCTTCTTGGATGAGAAGCAAAACGTCTTCAAAGAAAAACCAGAAAGTTCAGTTGCCTCTTGAAAAAGCACCTTTGGGTCATGTTGAATAAGTTCACCACCTTATTTATAAAAATAATAAAAGTGGAATATAAATGAATACATGATAAAAGTGTAAGGAATAGTTTTACAGCAAGTCACTTTTTTCAGTGCTGTTCTAATTTTGAATGATTACTAACGGTTGTAAGTTGAGGACTCCCTATATCTGGTAAAATACTCTGAATTCATTTGTATTCCATTTCTTTCCCAATGCCTTCTGAATGAATTTGCATTTTGTGTGCCATCAACTTTTTTACGGAAGGCCTGAAATAAATGGGTGATTATGCGTAACGCCTACCTTCACAGGTCAATAGGAAATATGCCATGTTGTGGCTGAACGTTGCACGGAAGTAAGTGCAGTTGTTAATCAAATCACAAGAGAGACATTGCCGGTTGAAGTTCCCCTTGGTGCTGGCACTGTAACACATAATGAAAAACAAAAAGAGGCTTAATTGTCAAAGAGCAAAAAAAGGTGGGAAGAATATTTATTAATGTTTGATCTAGACCCCAAGGTGATCTCTGCCTCAAATTCAGTCTTCCCCAGTCTAATTCCATTCAGATGAGTTGCATCACTCATGGGCTGGGAACAGTGCTGAAATTCAATTTTTTTTACTACCGGTTCTGTGGGCGTGGCTTGGTGGGCGTGGCAGGAGAAGGATACTGCAAAATCTCCATTCCCACGCCACTCCAGGGGAAGGATACTGCAAAATCCCAATTAACCCCACTCCTGCGGGAAGGATATTACAAAATCTCCATTTCCACCCCATTCTGGGGCCAGCCAGAGGTGGTATTTGCCGGTTCTCCGAACTACTCAACATTTCTGCTATCTCCAGAACCTTTTCAGAACCTGCTGGATTTCACCCCTGGCTGGGAATTTTGGGAGGTTACAGCGCCACATATTTCAAAGGGTGTGGGAGACTAAACTGGATAAGTAGATAGCATTGGGCCAGGTAGATGAACAATCTCTCAAAATGCAAGGCAGCTTTCTATGTATTCATCACGGCTAGATTCATTCATTCGTTTGTTTGTTCGTTTGTTCATTCATTTGTTTAAGTTTTATCCTGCCTTTATTACTTTATCGGTAACTCAAGGCAGTGAACATACTTAATACTCCTTCCACCTCCGGTTTTCCCCAAAACAATCCTGTTAGGTGGATTGGGCTGAGATTGAGGGACTGGCCCAAAGTCACCCAGCTGGCTTTCATGCCTAAGGCAGGACTAGAACTCACCATCTCCTGGTGATTGGTCCAAAGTCACCCAGTTGGCTTTCATGCCTAAGGCTAGACTAGAACTCACTGTCTCCTGGTGACTCACCCAAAGTCACCCAGCTGGCTTTCATGCCTAAGGTGGGGCTAGAACTCACAGTCTCCTGATTTCTAGCTTGATGCCTTCAACTCCCCAACCCCCCCAGCCAGCCATCAACCAATGGAACTTACCTAGAGGAAGACTGAGATGATTTATTTTATTAAATTTGTATACCGCCCTGCTCCTGCTGGATTCAGGGCGATGATGGACGCTTTTTAAAATTTTAGGTCTAAACAGAAAAAAAATGCCTTTTTTTTTTAAAGGAATGAAATTAAGATTAAAATCTAAAATGACAGTAGGCAAGTACTGAGTGCGAAAGACATAATTACATATCAAGTGTGAAAAAAGACAGTTTGGTTTTTCAACCTTGGCAATATTCAGATACGTGGACTTCAACTCCCAGAAATTCTGAAATTCTGGGATTCGAAGTCTATGTATCTGAAAATTGCAAAGCCTGGGAAAGGAAAGCGTAGTGGATAATGTGCTGCATTAAGAGTTCGGAGACCCAAATTCTAATCCTCCCTTAAGCACAGAAGTTGACCCTTGATTGTGACAACCAAAAAAGGGCTATCAATCAACTTGCACTGGACCAGAGTGGTAGATGACAATTCAAAGTATTCAGTGAAGAGACTTCCATCCTACAGTGGATTGATTTGGGCTGATAATAACAAGAATATAACAAATGAAGGCAAACTTATCAGGGGTGGGTTCTACTTACCTTTACTACTGGTTTGCAACAGGATTGCACTCGCTCGCTCACCTTGCTTCACTTGCGCACGTGCATTACTTCTGCGTATGCGCAGAAGCTTTTACACATGTGCAGATCGCTGATGATGACATCCGGGGTAGTGGGCGGGGCCTCCTGCCGGTTTTACTACTGGTTCTTGCGAACCGGTCTGAACCAGGGGCAACCCACCACTGAAACATATGTGTCCCAGGATAATGTTGCAGGATTGAGTCTGTGTTGGTCACTGGGCTCAGAGGTTTAGTCTTCTGAGTTTTCAGACTTATGCTGGAGCCCATCCTCAGGAAACCTCTCTTTAAGAGAAGCTAAAAAGGGAAGTTCTCTGAGGTTGGGCTCTAGTAGGAGCCCTAAAGCTTGGAAGACTAAACCTCAGTGACTGACCAAGATTGGATCTTGCACAGGGATGGGATTCACATAATTTACTACCTCCACACATGCTCAGGCCTTCCGCACTTGTGCTTTGCTCGCATGTGTGGCTTCCACACATGCGCACACCTTGAAAATGTGCCTAAATAGGACGGCATAGCGCCGGAGTGGGTGGCCAGGGGCAGGCCCACCCGCAGGTTGCTACTACTGGTTTGCCCCAACTGGTCTTAACCAACTGAATACCACCTCTGATCAGAGATGGGATTCAAATCCCGGCGCTACCGGTTTGCTATCGGTCGTGCGCGGGTGCACTAGGTCACTTTGCGAATGCACGGTACTTCTGCGCATACGCAGAACATTTTTGATAACGTCTGAGTGGGTGGGCGGAGCCTCCCACTGCCGCTGCTACCAGTTCGCTCAAACTGAGACGAACTGGTAGAAACCCACCCCTGCCTCTGATCCTTCAACAATAATATCATTCTGCATCAAGAATCTGATTAAAACAATGAGAAATCCAAGAGCTGTGTTTGAAATTGCCTTCTTGGTGCACATCTAAGCACTGAATCTTGATTGATGCATCCACCAGGGTGCCCTGGATGGTTTACATGTGAAATATGAAGGTGACTGCAGAGCTTTTAGGAAGGACTTCTTCAGCACCTGCCATCTGAGGGGATGACAGACAAGTATAACCTTTTCCGTGTAATGAAACAAACAAAACAAGAACTGTGCTATTGGCCATAGCTCATCTGCCTACGATGCTGCAAACACCAGTCATTTGGGAGGTGAAGTCATAATATGCTCCTAAAGATAGTGGATAAATGGGAAAGGTCTTGCTATTTTGTTTATCTTTAGAATGCATTTTGTTCTCTTTAAAATATTCTGTGTTGGAATGTTTGTTTGTTTCCTCCCTTCCTCCAAAATAAATACTTAAATAAATAAAAACAAGAGTCTTTTGAAGACAAAGATAAAAACAAAGACCACAAATGCAAAGACAGATAAATAACAATATCCCCAAAATAAAAGTTGGGAAGCTGACAGTAACATTTTTTGACAGTCTAAGTGGCAAGAGTCTTCCCCCCCCCCAAGTATAATCGGAAAGTTATCTTGGCATAAAACTAATCATACCTGTATAAATGCCGAGTCCTTGGCAACTCTTCTGTGCTGAGGAAATAGCTAAAATAAAATACACACATGATTAGATTTTTAGGAGCAACATTTCACTGATGTGAGTTCCCTATGCATACAGTTCTTTTAAAACAGAAGTGAAAAACATCTGGCCAAAAGTTTCTTATGTGCCAGAAACATTTTCCGAAGTATTTGTTTCTTGATAAAATCTATATTTCAGGTTGCTTTTTCTCTCTAGTCTAGGCAAGTTTCTAGTCCTTATGGCTGGGAGTTTGAAAAAAAAAAGTGGGTGGTTTTTCTTCATTGTGCTGTGTGAATATTCAAGTTCTTTCCCAGTCCTTCCCAAATGTTCATTTCTATCTCCTGTTTTGTATACCATATTTTTTGGAGTATAAGACGCACCGGAGTATAAGACGCACCTACCTTTTTTGGTGAGGAAAAGAAGAAAAAGAAATCTCCCTCTGCCTCTGAGCAATTTTGCCTCGTTTCAGCAAACAACAAACAGCCTGCTTTACTTTCATTTTCATTTTCAGCATAGCTTGATTAGCACAATGGGAAAAAAAATCAATTTATCAGCAATTTATCTCTTTGCAGCAAGCAGCAGAGCCCTTGGCAAAACAGCTGAGAGCAAAACAGCTGAGAGTCCGGAGGCCGAGCCAATCAACTGGTGCTAATTAGGCTGTGCTGAAGCTGAAAGGAGCTGTTTTTTCTTGCTGTTTGCTTGCAACGGCTTTCCACCTTTTGGGGGGGAAAAGGTGCGTCTTATACTCCGAAAAATAAGGTAATTATTTTTCCCAGTGCATATAAATGTGTATTCAGCTTTCAGGTGCAAAGTTGGGACAATCTGGAAATATAAATGGGGCCCAATCAATGATGCAAGGGTATATAAAATACTGTTTCTCTATCTGAAACTAGCCGACAGGCCGACAATTGCAATTCCATAGAGCTATGGAAGTATATTAAATATACTTCCATAGCTCTAGTGCAGGGGTGTCAAATTCGATTTCATTGAGGGCCACATCAGGGTTGTGTTTGACCTCAGGGGGCCAGAGTGGGTGTGGCCAGCTTGATGTCACTTGTGTTAGGGCCACCTGTGGTGGCCAAGGGCAGGACTTCCCTCAGACCCTCCCTCCCTCTCATTATAATCTCCTTCCTTCCTTCCTTTTTCCTTCCCTCTTCATTCTCCCTTCTTCTTCCTTCCCCTCTTTCCTTTTTTTTCCTTCCTTGCTCTCTTCCCATCTTCCCTTCTTTTTCTTTCCTCTTTCCCTTTCTCCTTTCCTGTCCCTTCTTGAATGCTCAAATGCAAACGGAGAAACATTTCTCCTTTTGTTTTGTTTTTAGTTTCTTTTGCTAGCCCTCTGTCAGTGAAAACGGAGTCCGGGGGAGTGGTCATGCGCAGCCTCCTGCAGCCCTCTGCCAGCGAAAACAGGTGGAGCATCCAAGCTCTGTTTTCGATGGCAGAGTGCTGTAGAAGGCCGTCGTGGACGAAAATGGCGCCTGGGGAGGCCGCACGCACCCCTGAGCGCCATTTTAACTGGCAGAGGGCTGCAGGAGGCTGTCATGGCCAAAAACAGAGCCTGGGAGGGTTGCGTGCAGCCCTCCCGAGCTCCGTTTTTGCTGGCAGAGGCACCGCGGGCCAGTCCTTCGCTGTTTACAGGGTGGCCCCGTGCGCCAGATCTAATCACCCCGTGGGCCGGATCTGTCCCCTGGGGCCTTGAGTTTGACACCCCTACTCTAGTGGTTCATATGATAGTAAAAAATATAGAAAAAGTGTAGATACAGGTGGTCCTCAGCTTATAACCACTTGTTTAATGTTACTGTTCAATGTTACAGTGGCACTGAAAAAAGTGGCTTATGACCAATCCTTTCATTTACAACCATCATAGTATCCCCAGGGCAGTGGTGAAATCTAAAATTTGTTACTACCGGTTCTGGCGAAGAAGTTGTAAAAAAATGCTATCAAAAGGCTCTGATGATCCCAGCTGAGTTGCCTGATCGTCAGAGGCTTTTTAAAAAACTCAGCTTGGATCGTCAGAGGCATTTAAAAGAAAAAAAGGGTTTTTTTTCTTTTAAAAGCCTTTGACGATCCCAGCTGAGCCGCACAATCATCAGAGGCTTTTTTTTTTACGTTTAAAAGCATTTTTTCGGTCGAAGAGGTTTTAGAAAAAATGCTTTTAAAAGTAAAAAAAAAAAGCCTCTGATGATTGTGCAGCTCAGCTGGGCATGGAGGGGGGTGGCAGGGATTTTTGCTACTGATTCTCTGAACCACCCGCCTCCATCGCTACTGGATCGGGCGGTCCGGTCCGAACCGGGAGTATTTCACCCTTGCCCCAGGATCACTTGATCAAATTCAGGCACTTTGCAACTGGCATGTATGTATGATGGTTGCAATATCCCATGTTTCCCGTGGCTTCCAACAAGGAAAGACAATGGGGGAAGCCAAGTTCCATGCATGCAATACAACAGCTTCACAATTCACTTAACAACCGTGGCAAAAAAAAAATATGATATAATTGGGGTAACTCACTTATTAACTCCATTACTTAGCTATGGAATTTCTGGTTGTATATCAAGGACTACCTGCATTGATTAAACTGTAGCATCATTTAAATTTACTCCGTTCTCTTTTCACTGAACCTCTTTAGCTACCAATGCTCCATTTTCTAGCTCCCTATCAAATTGTGCTCCTGATTTCTCTATATTTTCTAAATTATAGGTCTATATGGATGGTTGAAAAGTAATCAGAAACTCTTCTTCATAATTTTTTTTGGCTAAAATTGTAGTTGGATGTAGCTATTTCACATTTGAGGGCAACATGTCCATGAACTATATTTGAACACATTTGTCAAAATAACATGGAAATCAAGCAATTAAATATAGTCACATGCAATTATGCTTTCCAAATTAGTCACGGCTTTCCAGCTGTCGGATGAAACTGACACAGAATCTCAATGTTGATCAAAGTGACAGAAAAATAACATTTCCATTGTACTGATTTAAACTGCTGCCCTTTAACAGCTCTCATTTCTCCCCAAATTAAGACATTTCAGACACAAGGAATTCTATCATTCAATGCATTTTAATACTACTTTTAACAAAAAAAGTCTGGAAATCCAATAAGTTTTCTTTTTTGACAACCGGATCAATTCTGTACAAAGATCAAAGGGTGAATTAGATATATCCAAAGTGCTTCTTTTATTTGAAATGTCACAGAATCAAAAAATGCATGTGTTATAAGGGAACCCAGAGGTCATACAATCCAACCCCCTGTTTAATGCAAGAATTGGCTTAGCCATTCCGGGCAAGAGGTTTTCCAGTCATCATTTTTAAAAACTCCAAAAAATAATATTTATTGCTATGACAAAATTCCTCCTAAGATTCAGTCTGAATATTCCTCTTTTAATTCAATTCATGGGGCTTAACTTGTCCCAAAGCAGGGAATTGATCTGACCCCTTTACTATGATAGTCTTAAAGGTAAAGTAAAGGTTCCCCTTGCATGTATGTGCTAGTCGTTCCCGACTCTAGGGGGCATTGCTCATCTCTGTTTCAAAGCTGAAGAGCCAGCGCTGTCCGAAGACGTCTCCATGGTCATGTGGCCGGCATGACTAAACGCCAAAGGCGCACAGAACGCTGTTACCTTCCCACCAAAGGTGGACCCTATTTCTCTATTCCCTATTTTTATTTTTTAACATGCTTTCGAACTGCTAGGTTGGCAGAAGCTGGGACAAGTAACGGGAGCTCACCCCATTATGCGGCACTAGGGATTCGAACCGCTGAACTGCCCACCTTTCAATCAACAAGCTCAGCGTCTTAGCCACTGAGCCACCACATCCCTCATGATAGTCTTATATAATGATAATTGTATAACTAATTGATATTTTTAAAATGCTTTTGTAATGTAAACTTGCTTCATTGCTCAAATTATTTCTCAAAGGGGTTGAATTCCAGGATGGAATTAACTCCATAAATTGAATGCTATGCAATGTTAATGAAGTCCAAGATTGCATTGGCCTGTTCAGCTGCTTGTCCACTACTGCCAAGTCAGATCTTCCCATTCCATATGCATTAGAAATTATTTCAATGGCCCTATGGCAGCAGGAGGGTCTACATAACATAAGGTGACCAGACGTCCCGCTTTTGGCGGGACAGTCCCGCTTTTGAGCAATTTATCCCGCGTCCCGCGGCGTTTTAAAAAAGTCCCGATTTTTCATTCTGCCTCCTGAGTCCCAGCTGATGGCTAGAGGGAAAAAAAACTGTTTGAACTCTTGCCGCCGGGCTTCAAAGGGCCGACCTACAGCTGATCAGTGTTAAAAAAAAAAAACCTTGGTATATTTGCGGCGCAAGGCAGCCCTCGTTTCCTGCCGACTCGGAGCGGTAAACAGCGTCTGGTTCAGGGAGCAGCTGGATTTTGCTCTCCATTGCTCTCTCGGTCCCCTGCAAGCTCTCATCTCTCGAGAAGCCCAACCAAAGTTTCCCGCGCCATTTCAGGGAGCGTTCCTCGAGAGACGAGAGCTTGCAGGGGGCCGAGAGAGCAATGGAGAGCAAAATCCGGCTGCTCCCCGAACCAGACGCTGTTTACCGCTCCGAGTCCCAAGCGACAGGAGAGGAGGGCTGCCTTGTGCTGCAAATATACCAAGGTGGAATCCTGATGCCGCCCTTACAGTGGAGAGAAGAAGCCGGATTTTGCTCTCCATTGCAGACACCAGATCGTAATGCACCACCTGCAAAAATGCAAAAATTTCCAAATGTAGCCCTGCCCTCTTACAGCTCTCCTGATGTTCAACTGTTGTCTCTCAAGGAGGATACTTGGCCAGCCTCATGCTTGATGTCTCCCACCTTGGCAGCTTTAAGACTTGTGGACTTCAACTCCCAGAATTCTCCACAATTCCCCAGAATGGGCTCAGCGGGAGTTGAAGTCCAAACGTTGTAAAAGAGCCACAATTGCCCAGCCCTGGGCTAGGGTAGGCTGATGCCGCGCGGATGGGAGGAGGGGCGGGCGACCCAGCAATTAAGTTGTGGTTTGGAGGTATATATGGGGGAAATTATTTGGTTTATTATTATTGATAGATATAATTAATTGATTTGTAAGAAATTGGATTGCATGGAAATAATTGGAATATTCATGTTCATATTGATTAATATACAAAAAAGATAGTTATATAACTAATTGATTTATATTAAAATGTTGAATTTGTATTAAACAACTGTATTACATAATTACATAATTAACCAATGTGAGGATGGATATAAAAATAGATGACAATGGGAAGGGGTATAATATAGAATAGAAGGGAAAAATTGAATTTGATTAAGATTAGAGATGAGGATGAAGGGTAATATTGGTTTTTTTAAAAAATAGATGAGGAATAAATATGGCAAAAAGGAAATATAGAAATTGTAAATTTAATTGAAATGACTAAACGCTGTTTAAATTTGTGAACCAGCCAAATATTCTGTTCAAAGAAAATACATTGTATGTTTGTATGTGTGTTTCTAATTACTGCTATTTATTCATATTTGTTCTCTTTTATTCTTTAAAGTTTAACAATTCATTCTTTATCTTAATATCTTTATATTTGTTTGGGGTTGGCTTTCTTCCCGTTCATCTTTTTTATTGTACAGCAATCTTTCTCCTCAAACCTACCACCTCTCTCTTTTCTTTCCTTCTTACTTTCTCTTCCCCCCACCCTCTTTTTCTCCTCCCTACTTCCTCTTCCTTTCTCCTCCTCCTCCTCTCTTCCTCCCTCTCTTACCCTCACTCCTACTCTAATTTCTCTTCCTTCATCCCTCTCTATTGCTGTATCCTTTAATGCATATGGACTACTCAGAGGGCTGAAAAAGTTATTTTTGACTGGTCCTCACACTTTTGACCAGTCCTCGAACTTACGACTGTCCTCACATTTTACATTTTTGCCCTATCTTGTCATCATGGTGAAGAGAAGCAGTTGTGAAATGAGTGACATGGTTGTTAAGAATGCGGCATGGGCATAAATGTGAGGATGGTCATAAGTATGAGGACCAGTAAAAGTGCGAGGACCTGTCAGAAATGACTTTTTTCAGCCCTCTGGTTAGTCCTTTTGTGCATATGGACTACTCGGAGGGCTGAAAAAGTTATTTTTGACTGGTCCTCGCACTTTTGACCAGTCCTCGAACTTACGACTGTCCTCACATTTTACGTTTTTGCCCTATCTTGTCACCATGGTGAAGAGAAGCAGTTGTGAAATGAGTGACATGGTTGTTAAGAATGCTGCACGGGCATAAATGTGAGGATGGTCATAAGTGTGAGGACCAGTCAAAAGTGTGAGGACCTGTCAGAAATGACTTTTCAGCCCTCTGAGTAGTCCCTATACACATAGCCATGGCCACCCGGTCACATGACCAGCTAGCCACGCCCACCCAGTCACATGGCCTCCAAGCCACGCCCACACAATAAGCCACGCCCACAATGTCCCTCTTTACCAATGTTAAAATCTGGTCACCTAACATAACAGTCTGTGATTCTTATGCCCATTTCACAGATTGGGACTTTCACCACAACCAAAATAAAACCGGTACACACTTTTTTGGCTTTCAGCAGATTCTTCCCACTGATCAGGTTATCATATGTAAATCTCAAATCAGTGATACAATACAACTGGCTTTGTTAAAGGCAAAAAAAAAAAAAAAAGATCAGCTTCCTTTACTTAAAAAAAAAATTACTTACATTTTATGCTGCTTCTCATCATAGCCCAAAATTTTGGACACATCCCAGTCACCCGATGTAATAGACTGTAAATTATCATTGCTGCTATTGGGCTGCCAAGAAAAAGAAGAAAATCAGGACTTCAGAAGGATTTAGCACAACCTTTTATCAGTGAAAATTAGATTTACCTTTTTTTTTTCCAAACACATCCCCTGAAATTCTCTACCACAGTCTGAAAAATAGCATTATGCTCCTCCTTTCCCCTACAGTCTTTAAATATAAATACCGTGTAAATAAAGGGGCTTGAATTTATGTCCAAAATAAACATATTCCATACCCAAGAGCAAGGGTGTCAAACTTGATTTCATTGAGGGCTGCATTAGGGTTGTGTTTGACCTCAGGAGAGCTGGGGGGAGCGTGGCCAGGAGGCGTGGCCAGCTTGATGTCACTCGTGTTGGGGCGGCTGTGGTGGCCCGAATGATTTGCCAGCAAAAACGGGTTCCTGAGCTCCGTTTCCGGCTGTGATGGCCTCTGCAACCCTCTGCCAGCGTAAATGGAGCTTGTGAGGGCTGCACACGGCCCTCCCTAGCTCCATTTTCGCTGGCAGAGGAACCGCGGGCCAGTCCTTTGTTGTTTCCAGGGTGGCCCCCATGGGCCAGATTTAAGCTCCCTGTGGGCCAGATGGCCTTGTATTTGATACCCCTGCTCAAGAGCAAAAGAGGGGAAAAAAAGTACTGTGGGTAGTTTTTGACTTACGACTGTCATTGAACCAGTGATGAAATCCCATTTATTTTACTACCGGTTCTGTGGGCGTGGCTTGGTGGGCGTGGTGTGGCTTTGTGGGTGTGGCAGGGGAAGGGTACTGCAAAATCTCCATTCCCACCCCACTCCTGGAGGAAGGACACTGCAAAATCTCCATTCCCACCCCACTCCTGGAGGAAGGATACTGCAAAATCTCCATTCCCACCGTACTCCAGGGGCCAGCCAGAGGTGGTATTTGCCGTTTCTCTGAACTGCTCAAAATTTCCACTACCGGTTCTCCAGGATTTGTCAGAACCTGCTGGATTTCAGCCCTGCATTGAGCCTGGAATTATGGTTGTAAATTGCTAAGATTGTAAGTCGAGGCACCATGACTGGAAGTAAATTTTTGCCTTTTTCTGTTATTAAGCAAATGTTGTGGTTGCTAAGCAAATGTGGGGACTATTAAGTGAATGCAGCAGTTGTTACACAAAACCATTCAAGAACAATTTTTGCCCAAAACCAGCAAAAAAACAAAAACAAACCACTATTACAAATGTGACTACAGAACAGCCTAATGGATTGTAAAACCGACTTGCAGGCAGGTGGCAGCATGACCATTTATGATGGCCAGGGATATTTTTCAGGCTCTAAAGAATCCGTTCTATGGCCCTTTAAGTTTGAAAGGCATAAAACGATTGGTCATTAAGTGCGGACTATCTGTACTGAGATTTTTCCACGTGGAGGATGGAAAGAACCACTTGTCAGTTTGTCACTGCTGCCTTTTGTCCACATATACAATTTTGGATGCAACATTTTCCAAAGATTGAATTTTTGCAAGGAAGGGTACAGGTCAGGGGTGAAATGCTCCTAGTTTGGACCGGATCGTCCGATCCGGTAGCGATGGTGGCAGGTGGTTCGGAGAACTGGTAGCAAAAATCCCTGCCCCCCCCCCATGCCCAGCTGAGCCGCGCGATCATCAGAGGCTGTTTTTTTTAACTTTTAAAAGCATTTTTTCTACAACCTCTTCGGCCGAAAAAATGCTTTTAAAGGTTAAAAAATAAAAAGCCCCTGATGATTGCGCAGCTCAGCTGGGATCGTCAGAAGCTTTTCAAAGCATTTTTTTCTGCAACCCCTTTGGCTGCAACCCCTTCGGCTGAAGAGGTTGTAGGAAAGCCTCTGGCGATCCCAGCTGACTTGCCTGATTGCCAGAGACCTCTAAAAGCATTTTTTTTCTGCAACCTCTTAAGGTTGCAGAAAACCTCATTACCCCCACCACCACCAAACCACACCCACAGAACCAGTAGTAACAAATTTTAGATTTCACCCCTGATACAGGTGGTCCTGTAGACTTGACTGTCAAGAGTTTTGAATCCGGGTTGCAGTGTGGATTGCCCCCGGTTCGGACTGGTTCTATAGAACCGTTAGTAAAACTGGCGGGAGGCTCCGCCCACCAACCCTGACATCATCAGGAAGCTTCTGTGCGGCCCTGTTGCGAACTGGTAGTAAAGATAAGTAGACCCCGCCCCTGCCGGGTTGTAAGTTTCCATTTTTGGGTTGGTTGTAATTTTGAATGGTCACTAAACAACGTCATAAATTGAGCACTTCCTGTGTAAGCTCATGGAAATATCTAAACAGCAAACCTATTATAAAGACTAAAGCAGATTTTCATGGACTGATAACCATTTTCTTGGACTGATAACTTTTGACTTTCTCAAGCTCCCAGAAATAATAATTTAAATAGCAGCAAGAGAGAAGACACTGAATTCACATTTTTGCTCCATCAATGCCCCAAATTCAACAGCTTTTTCCGAAAAAAGAGAGACTATTTGAGTCGTATTTGATGAGATCATCGGACCATCAACCGATTATTAAATTTTAACACATTAAGCTGTAGTACCCCTGACTGTTCTTTACATATCTTAACATACACATTTTTGAATGCATTAATAATTGGTGGGTTGCATTGCAAAAGTCAGAGAAGTGGAAATAATTACATTACAGTTGCTACATTGGTTTCGGAAGTGTGAATAGTAAATTATATTAAAATGGGAACAAAATACATTTGTTCTCATTTTTCTCCCAGGGTGGCTAATCATAATAATGTATTTATTCTACTTTGGCATTTGTTGTGTTTTCCTCTCCTCCAAGAAGCTTACAAACTGTGAGTTCTAGCCCCTACTTGGGCATGAATGCCAGCTGGGTGACTTGTGGTAATTCCTCTCTCTCTCACCCCTACACGGTTTTTGAGGAGAAAACCATGTTCATCAACTTATTGAGAACTTATTGACTGTCATAAATCATGCTGGTTGCTTACCAGGGTCATCACATGTCCAACCTGGCTTTATGATATTTTGGGGATGTTAATTAAACTTATTGATTGCAATTGGCATTTTTTTTTGCTGAAAACTAGAAGCAAATTCTGGGAACCGTGGGACACTGCCAATGGCCATAAATGCAGATCATTTGCCAACAGCCTGAAATGCAATCATGTGACTGTGGGCGAGAGAGAGGAGTGGGCCCCAGGGGTGGGCTCTACTACTTATCTTTACTACCGGTTCGCAAAAGAAGCTTCTGTGCATGCGCAGATCGTCCATTATGACGTCTGGGCGGGTGGGCGGAGCCTCCCGCTGTTTTTACTATCGGTTTGCAAGAACCGGAGAGAACTGGGAGCAACCCACCACTGGGGGTGGCCTTTGGCACTTCAAATCTGCATCATAAGTAGTTTTTTGGGTTGGTTGAATGGTCACTAAGCGAGGACTATCTGCAAATCCTTCTTGTCAACGGTGCCATCAACTTCCACCAGTAACAAACCAGCTTTCCTTCCGCAAAACCTTGGGTCATAGTCAGACATTGCTGGCTTGGGCAGAAGGCATTCTGGGCGTGACTTAGCAGCAGCCAGTCTATCCTGTCATAAGAATTTAGGCGTATTTATTTTAATCTCACCCAGTTGCTCTACAAAGGTAGTCTCACCTGAGATGATGACATGGCAATATGGTAGAACTCGCCTCGTCCCCCTTGGGGAATTGCTCGGACAAAAAAGAACTTCTTGCCATCTTTAGAGAAGATGGGCTCTTCATTCTGCAAAATAATAAGAAGATGAAAATGAAGTTTATGAAGATGATGTAAAACAGGTAGTGAAAGGGAGGGGAGGGGAGGGGAGAAAGAGAGGAAGAGAGGGGGAGATAGAGGTGGACACAGGGAGGGAGGGGGAGAGAGACAGGGAGAGAGAGAGGGAGAGGGGGGAAAGAGGGAGAGGGGGAGAGAGAGGAGAGAGGGAGAGGGAGGGAGAGATGGGGAGAGACAGGAATAGGGAGAGAGGGAGAGGGAGAGGGAGGGAGAGACAGGGATAGGGAGGGAGAGAGAGGAGAGAGGGAGAGGGAGGGAGGGAGAGGAGAGAGGGAGAGATGGATGAGAGAGGGAGAGACAGGGATAGGGAGGGAGAGAGAGGAGAGAGGGAGAGGGAGGGAGAGACAGGAATAGGGAGGGAGGGAGAGAGAGGAGAGAGGGAGAGGGAAGGAGAGAGGAGAGAGGAAGAGGGAGGGAGAGATGGGGGAAGAGAGGGAGAGACAGGAATAGGGAGGGAGAGAGGGAGAGGGAGGGGGAAGGAGGGAGAGATGGATGAGAGAGAGGGAGAGACAAGGAGAGGGAGGGAGAGAGGGGCAGGAGACAGAGGGAGAGGGGGAGAAGAGGGCGAGTCATGTCAAAGGCTATTGTAAGCCGTCCTGAGTCTCTGGAGAAGGGCGGCATATAAATCAAATTTAAAAAAAAAATGCAGCAGAGTCAATTCTCATTCTATTTTGTTTGAGAATGTGCGACTCTTCCTTGATAGCTACAAACTGAACTAAATCATCATGCAGCAGAGTATCTAAGGATCCTGCTCTTGCTACTCATTAATAAAATAGATGTGGTTTTCTTTTTGATTTTAGTAGGACCCTTTATCAAAGGAAAGAACCCTGAAAAAATTTGAGGGCATCTGAAGCACCTTGAACTTCAAAGATGTTTTCTTCCGGCCAAGTTTTTAAAAAGCTTCAGACACATGTACAGTGATCTACACAGAAATAGCTAAAAGACATCTCATATCTACTTTAAAGGAGGCTGCAGTTTCATCTTCCATTTCTGCCAAAATTATGTGTAAAGAGCTGCAATAACGGGATCAAATTTGTTTATATTTTAGAGGTTGCTCCTCCACCTTCTTTGCAAAATCCAAACACATGCAGTAATTTTTCTCTGGCATTCAAGGTGTCAAAAAAAAATATGAATGTGTGAGTGGTGGTTTGGGTTGCCGATCCCAAGTTTCATCATTCCCACACTGGTTTTGGGACAAGGGTGTCTTCAGGACGAATGCCAACCGTTTCAGGTCAGGAACAAGTAGAGAAACTCTCCTTTAATTTTACAGGGAATAACAACAGAATCCTGAATGCCTGACATTTCTCTCTCCTGCACATTTATACCAAAGGGAATCAAGATGAGGCAACCTTGAGTTTCGTCCTGACCCTCCCCTGTCATTCTGGGGAAAGGTGATGTTTTCATACCTTCTTTACAGCTATCTCAAAGTTTGCCTTTTTCATAAATACATGCCGGTTGCAAAGTGTCTGAATTTTGACCACATGACTATGGGGGGAGGGAGCCTGCAATGGTCATAAGTGTGAAAAATGGACATACGTTACTTTTCAGTGCTTTTGTCATTCGGGATTGTCATTAAGTGAATGGTTGTATGTTGAGAACTACCTGTATTGGATTTTTGGAGACCTCTTCCTTCCCAGACTCATGGAGTTCTTTGGTGTATTAAACCTTGTCAGCCTGTGCAAGCTTTGAAAACAGTTCAGAACAGCTGAATAACCCAATTTATTTCAGGAATTGAGTCATTCCGGTCAGGGGTGAAATGCTCCTGGTTCGGACTGGATCCCCCGATCCGGTAGTGATGGCGGCAGGTGGTTCACAGAACCGGTAGCAAAAATCCCTGCGCCCCCGCCCCCCACATGCCCAGCTGAGCTGCACGATCATCAGAGGCTTTTTTTTTTTTTTACTTTTATTTTATTGTGATTTGTATTGGAAATTGTCATTTTGTAAGCCGCCTTGAGTCCCTCGGGAGAAAGGCGGCATATAAATCGCAATAATAAATAAATAAATAAAAGCATTTTTTTCTATAACCTCTTCCGACAAAAAAATGCTTTTAAAAGTAAAAAAAAAAAAAGCCTCTGACGATCGCGCGGCTCAGCTGGGATCGTCAGAGGCTTTTCAAAGCATTTTTTTCTGCAACCTCTTGGCCGAAGAGGTGGTAAAAAAATGCTTTGAAAAGTCTCTGACAATCCCAGCTGAGGTGCTTGATTGGCAGAGGCTTTTCAAAGCATTAAAAAAATGCTTTGAAAAGTTAAAAAAAAAAACTGTTGGCCACACCCACCCAGTCACATTACCACCACCCCCACCAAGCCACGCCCACAGAACCGGTAGTAACAAATTTTACATTTCACCCCTGATTCCGGTGATTTGCAACCCTTAATGAAATACTAGTTGTTGTTTTTAAAAAAATATTTCACGTGACCATGCAGCATACAGGTAGTCCTCAATTTACAATAATTTGTTTAATGACTGTGTGAAGCTACAACATCACTGAAAAAAGCCTTATGATTGTTTTTCACACTTAGGACCATTTGCAGCCTCTCCATGGTCACATGATCAAAATTCAGACAACTCCTATTTATGATGGTTGCAGTGTCCCCGAATCATGCGATCACCTTTGTAACCTTTGCTCTGACATGTAAAATCAATGGGGGAAACCAGACTCACTTAACAACCGTGTTACTAATTTAACAACTGCAGTGATTCACTTAACAACTGAGGCAAGAAAGGTTGTAAAATGGGGCAAACCTCACTTAACAAATATCTCAGTTAGCATTTTTGGCCTCAGTTGTGGTTGTAACTCAAGGAATACCTGTAGTAGACAAAATTTGAGATTATAATCAGCTCCACTTTGCGTAGGTAGCCAGCTGCAAAACGCCCATAGCACAATCATATGACCATGGGGCAGTGGTGAAATCCTCCGTGGGTTACCATCAGTTCGTTGCCTGTGCATTAGCGGTGCATGCCAGACGGGTGCTTCACACAGAAAAAGGAGCCATTTGAAGGTAAGTAGAACAGCGAGGGGGGGGAAAACAGCTGTGCCGCACGATTTAGAGTCGCTAGAAAGCAGGATGCTTTCTAGCGAATATAAATCGTGCGGCACAGCTGATCGTCGGAAATACCGGTTCGGACCAACCAATAGCTTTTTTTTTACTACCGGTTTGCTGAACCAGTAGATTTTATCACTACCGGTTCGCCAGAACCGGTGCTAACCGGTAGGATTTCACCACTGCCATGGGGGTGTTGCAATGGTTGCAAATTTGACTTCAAACTGTCACTAAACAAGTGGCCGCTAAGCAAAGACTATCTCTATGGGTCACGGAGAACCAGTTTAGTGTAGTGGAAAGAGCATCAGGCTAGAAACAGGAAGTTCTGATTTCTAATCCTGATTTAGGCACAAAGTCAGGTGGCTGACCTTGGGCCAGTCACATTCTTTCAGCCCTAGGAAAGAGGCAATGGCAAATTACTTCCAAAATCTTTCCAGGAAAATTGCAGGGATTTTTCCAGGCAGTCCCCAGAAGTCAAAAACTTGCTCAGAGGCTGTTTGTGTATGTTTGTGTCCAGCCACTGCATTCATATTTGATACAAGTCTATAGAATACATGTTATCAAAGAGATTTTATGAATTTCGAATATATAACTGGAAAGCACATCAAAGCATTTTATTCCAGCTCTAGTGCTTAGATATATAATATAGCATTAAAAGAGATGCAGACAGAGACTTCTAGGGGAAAGTCTCCATTAGAACCAATCATAACATTGATCTCCTGAGTTGTGACAGAATCGAGATCAATTTTCAAATTGTGTATTTAGAAGAGTGATTGCTCTGAAATTAGTTTGCTTAGCATCTGAAAGCTCTGTGACAGTTTCCAAACCTTTGCAGTTCTCTTTACAGAACGAAATAAAAATGCTTTCAAAACCACAGTTAATCTGCAACGAAGTGTGAGTTTATATTTCTCTTAAACCTTCATGTCCGTATATGAATGTTCTGTTGTAATGAAAACAGTAGAACATTTCCATGGGTGAAAATACTATTTTCTTTTGTAAAGTCAAAGAACACCGATCCCATTAAAAAAAAAAAAACAGAAATCTTCTATTACCTGCCGATGCAGCCAGGCTGTGCTTTCATCCTCGTGTTTCTGAAACGAAGAAACATAATTAAAGTATTATACTACACTTTGCGTTTATTATATTTTGCTCATCAGTGCAGAAAGCAATTTGACTCGCTTCCAACCGTGAATGAGCAAAAAGGGATGAAACAACCGAGCAGGCTTTAAAGGAAGGCAACGTGAATGATACTCTAGCTATTCTGGGTTTTGTCTCTTGTTAAACTAGGGCTGTTCCCTAGTCAAACAAGTGAATGCATTTACAGCTCAGCAGTTATCCATGGAGATATTTATTTATTCAAAACATTTGCACAGCCACCTACCTTATAACAAACTCAGGGCATCTCCCAATCAAAAATTAAAATAACATAAAAACCATATTATAACCAAATGCATACAGACTAAAACCTGGTGCCAGATCTATCTTCTGACCCGCAGTCACCTCATTTTATCCCAGTGTTTGGGGGGTAAAATTGGATCTTTAAGGCTTGGCAGACGGCTAGGAGGGTAGAGGTCTCCCAAACATTAAGGGGGCAGAGCAATGGTGAAATCTAATTTTTTTTACTACTAGTTCTGTGGGCATGGTGTGGCTTGATGGGAGTGGCTTGGTGGGCGTGGCAGGGGAAGGATATTGCAAAATCTCCATTCCCACCCCACTCTGGGGACAGCCAGAGGTGGTATTTGCCGGTTCTCCAAACTACTCAAAATTTCTGCTACTGGTTCTCCAGAATCTGTCAGAACCTGCTGGATTTCACCCCTGGGGCAGAATGTTTCAAAGGGAAGGGACTGCCATGGAAAAGGCAGCCTTTCTAGATCTTATTATATGGCAATATTGGGGGGAAGGGTCTAGAAGCGTGCCCACCCTATGTGACCTGTTGGATGGATGGATATTCTTCAAGAAATAAGGTCCTGCAGATAATCTGACTCTGTGCCACATAGAGCTTTAAGGTGATAGATAATCACCTTGCATTGCCCCCAGAAAGGAACTGGAAACCAGTGCCGCTCACACAACAGAGGTGTAATATGGGAAAACTAGGTTCACCCATCACAGTACAGGTAGTCCTCAATTTATGACCACAACTGAGCCCAAAATTTATGTTGTTAAGTGAAAAATTTGTTAAGTGAATTTGTTCCATTTTATGACTTTCTTTGCCACATTTGTTAAGTGAATCACTGCAGTTGTTAAATTAGTAACACAGCTGTTAAATGAATCTTAAGTTCTCCATTGACTTTGTTCGTCAGAAGGTTGCAAAATGACTCCTGAACACTGCAATCGTCATAAATATGAGTCAAGCATCTGAATGTAAATCATGTCATCCTTGGGATGCTGCAATGGTCATAAAGTGTGAAAAATGGTCATGAGTCACTATTTTCAGTGCCATCGTAAACTTTGGACGGTCACAAAATGAACTGTTGTATGCTGGGGACTACCTGGACTACATTTTGGCCCAGTTGAAGTTTCTGGGTGGTCTTCAGGAGATGCTTAAACCAGTAGCTTTTGGTTTGTATGTTTGTTTTTCATTCAGGTTGTCTTCTTGTTGGAAGAATTAGAGAAGCAGGCAGACTGATATACAGTCATCTTATGGTAGTAAGTATAGTAGCTGTACCAACAGCATCTTCAAGACCGTCTTCTGCCACCAATAGCCTCCCATCGACCAGTTCGCTCCCACAGGGAGGGTCTCCTCAGGGTGCCATCAGCCAAGTTATGTCGGCTGGCGACACCCAGGGGGAGGGCCTTCTCTGTGGGAGCCCCAACCCTGTGGAATGAACTGCCCCCGGAAATACGTAAGATCTCCGACCTCCGGGTGTTTCGCTGCGCACTGAAGACCCTGTTGTTCCGCCAGGCAGGGCTATCAACATAATGATTTTAAATTGGGGTATTTTAAATTTTTTGGGTTTTAAATCGGCCAAATCTATTTAATTATTTTAATTTTTAATCATTGTTGTGTCCTGTGTTTTTAAATTGGCTGTACACTGCCCTGAGTCCTTCGGGAGAAGGGCGGTATAGAAATAAAATTATTATTATTATTATTATTATTATTATTATTATTATTATTATTATTATTATTATTATTATTATTATTATTATTATTATTATTATTATCTGATCTGAATTTTCTCCAATCCAAACTTTGACCCAAACCTATTTCAAAAAAGAGCAAATTTGGTGTGGTAGTGAATGACACTGGAGGAGGAGTATGAAATCAGCTGGGTGGCTTTGGGCCGGTCCCTCTGTCTCAGGAAGAAGAGAGGAAGAAGACAAAAGCAAGCTATTTCTGAAAATATGGCCAACAGAATTGCAGCATGTGGTCACCAGGAGCTGAAGCTGACCTGAAGGATCATCGCAGCAGCAGGTTAATAGGGCCGTTATAAGAATGGAAGTTTGCATGGAGGACTTATTTATTTATTTATTATTTATTTATTAATCAAATTTCTATACCGCCCTACTCCCGAAGGACTCAGGGCGGTGAACAGCCAAGATAAAATACAGATAATACAAATATTAAAAATCCCTTAAAATTATTAAATATTTTGTCCGAAACACAGATTAAAACACCCAATTTATAAAATCACAAATTAAAAAATTTAAAAGAGGAGAGTTAGGCCAGGCCAGGCTGAAATAGAAAAGTTTTGAGAGCACAGCGAAACGTGCGCAGGTCCGGGATCCTCCGTATCTCCGGGGGGAGCTCGTTCCAGATGGTAGGTGCCCCCACAGAGAAGGCTCTCCCCCTGGGGGCTGCCAGTTGACACTGTTTGGCCGACGGCACCCTGAGGAGCCCCTCTCTATGGGAGGGTACTGGTCGGTGAGAGGCTATTGGTAGCAGAAGGCGGTCTCGTAAATACCCCGGTCCGATGCTATGGAGCGCTCTAAAGGTGGTAACCAAAACCTTGAAGCGACTTGATTCCTATATCCCAGGTGGGTCAAACTCAAGGCCCGTGGGCCATATCTGGCCCACGGGGTGCTTAGATCTGGCCCACGGGACTGCCCTGGAAACAGTGAAGGACTGGCCCATGGTGCTTCTGCCAGCGAAAACAGAGCTTGGGAGGGCGAGCTCCATTTCTGGCTGCGACCACCTCCTGCAACCGTCTGCCAGCAAAAATGGAGCTCAGGAGCCCGTTTTCTCTGGTAGAGCACTTGGGCCACCATAGGCGCCCCCAACAGAAGTGACATCGAGCTGGTCGCACCCACCCTGCCCCCCCCCGAGATCAAACACAAACCTGATGCGGCACTCAATGAAATTGAGTTGGACACTTCTGCTATATCCTATCATTGCAATGGCAGAGGTCCACCATGTAATATAAATAATAATACTTAATCCAAACACTGGAAGTTAACACAAAGATAAGCTTATCTTGCTTGTGTTGGATTGAAAGGTACACGCATATTTTTTGCGGAATGGCTCCTTCCTAAATCTCACGTACATCCTTTGGAGAAGAATGCAAATAACCAGAAAAATCTGCAAAGTAGAGGTGATTAACATAATGGAGCTTCCCCATCACACGGAGGTTATGCTGGTCATAAATGATTTTATGATCTTTTTACGGCAGTCATTAAAGAAACGCTGCAGTTGTAAAACTGCAGTTGTAACACACCCATTAACTGTTAACATTAACAGGGTTTGCTATGGATGTGGTTTTGCTGAAAACTGGAAGTAAATGCTGGTTTTCAGCAAAACCATAGTAAAATTTGGTCGTGTGACTGTGGGATGCTGCAAATGACAGTTGCTGAGCACCTAAAATTTGGTCACATGACTGCAGGGGGAAGGGACCAACCATCGTAACTTCGAGTCAAAAAGAGAGCTGTGAAAATTTCTACAGACCCTCATATCCTGGACATAAATTGTTTCAACCTCTACCTTCAGAATGACCTTATAGAGCAGTGTTTCTCAACCTTGGTAGCTTGAAGATGGGTGGACTTCAACTCCCAGAATCCCCCAGCCGGCAGCGCCGGCTGGGGGATTCTGGGAGTTGAAGTCCACCCATCTTCAAGCTTCCAAGGTTGAGAAACACTGCTATAGAGCATTGCACACCAGAACAACCAGACACGAGGACAGTTTTTTCCCGCATGCCATCACTCTGCTAAACAACTAATTCCCACAACACTGTCAAACTACTTACTGTATTACTATTATTCTTCTCATCCTTCCTATTACCTATCTCCTTTTCTACTTATGACTATAACTTTGTTGCTTGCATCTTTATGGTTTATATTGTTTTATTTAGTTTCCTAGTATGATTTTGATTGCTTATTTAGTATCCTATGACTATCGCTAAGTGTTGTATCTTATGATTTATGATGAATGTATTTATTATGACTATGATCATGATTTATCACTTATATCTTTTATGTACACTGAAAGCTTATGCACCGAAGACGAATTCCTTGTGTATCCAATCACGCTTGGCCAATAAAGAATTCAATTCAATTCAATTCAATTCAATTCAATTCAATTCAATTCAATTCTATTCTATTCTATTCTATTCTATTCTATTCTATTCTATTCTTCGAGTACGAGACATATGTAGTCCCTAGAGAGGTCCGTCATAACTTCAAATGGTTGCTAAGTGACTAGTCATAAGGCAAGGACTACCTTTACTTTTTTAAAAGAACTCTTGTGTGCTGTAATATCCCTAAATCAAAAGCAGCTGCAAAATTGCATGATGCACCTTAAAGATGGGGGGGAAAAAACCTCTATGGATAGAATTGACTGTCAAGACTGGTTATGTATTTTTTTCTTTTCGGGGTTATGTATTTTCCATGATATTCCATTTTCAGACTTGAAAAATGAAAACTAACCATTAATACCACAGAAAAAGGAATTGTTCAGTTGCTAGCAGAGGATTTTCCTTATTTATTTATTCGATTGATTAATTGTATGCTCAGTCATTTGGGGATTTAAAACGAAAAAGCAGCCTTCGTCCACTGAGAAAAAATAATAATGCAAATATATATATACATACCTTTGTGCAGACGCCCGTGGTTGCATCACAGAGAGTCAGAATGGAAAAGTTCTGTGCTCTATTTAGCCAGTTGACTGCAATCTTGGTGCTGGTTGCCCACTTCACCATGGTTATATAATAATCCCTGAAAAACAAACCAGGGCATTTTAAAAACTTTTTTTTAAAAAATCCCACCTTTATTAATAACTCAAGGCAGCAAACATACCCAATACCGTATTCTCTCCTCCTCCTATTTTATACCCACAACAACAATCCTGTGAAGTGGGTTGGGCTGAGAGAGAGCGACCAGCCCAAAGTCACTCAGCTCAGTGGTGGGTTTCAAATTTTTTTACTACCGGTTCTGTGGGCGTGGCTTGTTGGGCGTGGGATGGCTTGGTGGGCATGGCAGGGGAAGGATACTGTAAAATCTCCATTCCCTCCCCAATCCAGGGGAAGGTTACTGCAAAATCCCCATTTCCTCCCGATCAGCTAGGACTTGGGAGGCAGAGAATAGATGGGGGCAGGGCCAGTCAGAATTTTTACTACCGGTTCTCCAAACTACTCAAAATTTCCACTACCGGTTCTCTAGAACTGGTCAGAACCTGCTGAAACCCACCTCTGACCAATCTGGTTTTATGCCTAAGGCAGGATTAGAACTCACCAACTCCTGGTTTCTAGCTGGGTATCTTAAGCAGTAGACCAAACTAGCTCTCTTCATTTAAAAGTTTCCATTCTATACATTTGGGAATGTAATAAAACTGATCAAAGAGATAAGCTGATGCACTGACTCCATTCCAAGAAGGAATGGCCCATAAAGATCACGGCAGGGATGGACTTCAGTCATAAGGGTCCATCCCTAACCATGAAGATGGATGTATGAAGTGTTTCAAGAGGTTGTGATACAAGCCCTGTTCACTGATATTTGTGTTATGAGGTTGCACACAAGGAATGGAGCTTCTATCCTCATAATGCACATTTTTGGACTCGTGCCCCACCTGACCTATGCTTTGAACTGACTTTTTTTACCTGGGTATCTCCATATATGTCTGTGATTACCATACAGAATCATCTGTCTTTCAACAGACATTGGTAAAATGATAGATTGGTTAGTTTTTACTATATAGCAGTGCTTCTCAATCATGGCAACTTTAAACAGATGGACTTCACCTCTCTGCTGGCGGTGGAATTCAGGGAGTTATACAGCTGTACACTCTTGTGTAAACCATGAAGGTATGCTGTTAGAAAATCCACTGAAAATGGATATACTGTCTATTTCCCTTATGCCATCAGAGCTGAGAGATACAGATATTCTATGATGCCATACCATACTACATGGTTTTTCCATGACTTTCATACATGCACACATAGACACACACACTATATACGAGAACATGACATCATGTAACAGAATCTCTGGGCGTTGAATTGTATACCAATGAAATGAAATCAAACAATAAAAGTACATAGAGTGGTACCTCAGTACTCAACGTGAATTGGTTCCAGGAGGCACGATGAGTACCAAAAATGATGAGTACCAAACAAACTGTTCCCATAAGAAATAATGTAGTGAGTCACAAGGCCACTGACACCGACAAATTCTAGTTTGTGAACTGAGCACCAAACATATGATGAGTACTGACACAAATTTTCATGTTAAAATGAAATTGAGTACAAATTGGATGAGTTTGAAAGCAGTTGAGTACCAAGGTACTGTATCTCTATCTCTCGACTCTGACAGTTTAAGGTAATGTAATATGTTTAGTTCATAAGATTATTTACCAAAATGTTCTACCTGTAAATGAGTACTTTAATTTCAACCCTAATAACACAACCTTGACCTTTCGTGTTTTTTAAGAGGTCCCCACGGGGGCGTGCATAAGCGCACCAGCGTGCCTACCGTCCCTGTCCTACTGTCCCCATTTATATGTAATCATTCTATGTATTTATGGCTATGTTTTGCCTATTTATATCCTTTTATTTGTGCCAATTTTTTTCTTTTTTTTTATTGAAAAAGTTTTATAAATACCAATTTTTCCCCACTTCCCCCCCATCCCTCCCTAACCCCCCCTAATCCTCCCCTCCTCCCATGACTTCCCCAAGGTGAAATCCGTCCACATTATATTATAACATGCTTTACCACCCCTCTATTCTCCCCCCTGTGCACCATACATTTCTACATAACGATAAGCTATATTGCCCCCTATATACTATACATTTCTACACAACATTCAGCTAAAAGCTATCTAGTACTTCCTAGTTTGATATTTATTCTGCACATAATCTATCCATTTCTTCCATTCCCATACATAAGTCTCCTGAGTCCGATCTTTTAAATATGCTGATATCTTCGCCATTTCTGCAAAACTGGCCATCTTCAAAGTCCAAATTTTTTTTCATGTGTCCATGTCCATGTCTATACTGTTACTTATTTCCTTATACTTGTTGACTAGATAGATAGATAGATAGATAGATAGATAGATAGATAGATAGATAGATAGATATTGTTTCCCAACCATGTCAATTTCCAGATGTATGGACTTCAAACCCCAAATTAAGAGCCGAGGTGGTGCAATGGTTAGAGTGCAGTACTGCAGCTTACTTCAGCTGACTGCTAGTTCAGCAGATCAGTGGATCAAATCTCACCGGCTCAAGGTTGACTCAGCCTTCCATCCTTCTGAGGTGGGTAAAATGAGGGCCCAGATTGTTGGGGGCAATATGCTATTTAGTATACTGTCTTTGGTGTAAGCCGCCCAGAGTCCTCGGAGAGTGGGCGGCATAGAAATATGACTAATAAATATGACTAATAATAATAATAAAAAAATTCTGTTTAATGACCATGCTGGTTGTGGAATTCCGGAAGTTGAAATCTACACGCATGAAAATTGCCATGGCTGGGAATCACTGGCCTAAGAGAAAGCAGATTACATGTTCCTTTGGATAACTTCCGTGTCTATTCCTTCCTGCAAATAGGGAGCAGCAGGTTAACTCCTAAGGCGAATGTACTTTATGAAACCATCTAACGTGCAAAAGTCTATGAAATCAGTTCCTAGTAGAGGGTTTCAATCCTACAGTTTGACAATCCTGACCACCCACAACTGATGAATCCCATGTGTAGAGATCATGTGACCAATGCAACTAAAAACACCCTCTACAAATTGAATTGGGAACAGAAAAAACCAGGAGCGGCTGGTCTCGTACGTGCTTTCTCTTGCAGAGCTTATAGACGCACACTGATGACATTACCTAGTTGGGTAACAAAATGTCAGCAAGAGAACAACCAAGCTTAGACAGTCTGAATTGGAATCAGGTTCAATTCAATTCAGCTCCTCCCCACTTATGACTGTGCCTAGCAGGATTCCCGTGATTCTTTTACTACGCATCATTATATAACAGTCACTCCTCACATTTGCCTTTTATCTCCTCTATCATCTTCCTTTTGTTCTGCAAAAGGGAGAACACTATAATGTTAAATGCTAAATAAATAATTGCAGCAATCAGGAGAACAAGCAAGTAACATCTTTATAATCTCCCCTATCACTTTACAATGTGAAGTAACAAACACATGTCACCAGTGAACAGCTTATGCTTCTAGACTTGCGATGCCACTGTTAATTCAGATCAAGCTTTGTGCAAAACTCTGCAGCTCAGGTTCAAATGGCTAATATTACATCCATCTCTCTGTGTATCTCTATGTCTCTGTCTGTTTGTCTGTCTGTCTGTCTCTTACTCTGTCTCTCTCCCTCTCTCTCTGTCTCTTTCCATCTCTCTCTCCCTCTTTCTCTTTCTCTGTCTCTCTGTCTCTTTTTCTGTCTTCTGTCTCTTACTCTCCCTCTTTCTCTCTCCATCTCTCTCTTCCTCTTTCCCTGTCTCTCTCTCTGTCTCCCTCTTTCTCTCTCCGTCTCTCTCCCTCTCCCTCTCACCTTCTTTCTCTTTCTGTCTCTGTCTCCCTCTTTGTCTTTCTTCTTTCTCTCTCTCTCTCTTTGTCTTTCTGTCTGTCTGTCTCTTACTCTATCTCTCTCACTCTCACTCTCTCCGTCTCCCTCTCCCGCCCTCTTTTTCTCTCTGACTCCCTCTGTCTCCCTCTCTGCATAAGCATGGGTTATGAGTCACTTGTTTCAAGGAACAACTTTGAATAGTCACTAAATAAATGGATGTAAGTAGAGGATTACTGCACTCTTTACTGTGGTTTTCCTCTACAATAACAAGACTGGGCTGAAGAGAGAACAATCAGCCCCAAATCACGTGGTATTAAATATCTGACCTAAATCTCACTACTCCAACACCTGAATCATCCCGGTGATTCTCAATACCCTTTAGTCTGCAATGAGTCACCTACAACCCCCTTGAGTTTTTCTAATCACCTCTAGCCAAAGTACAGAAGCCCATGGAGACCAACAAAAAGCTTTAATAAGCTGCAAAGATCACAGGAGATGAAGGTCTATAAAAGGTTCCTTTAGCAGCTAAAGGAGTGATCAGGTGTCCTGGTTATAAAAAGATAGTCCTCTATTTAAAATCCAGGTCTGGTATAAAAATAAATATATATATACAGTATATATATATATATATATATAATATATATATGTGTGTGTGTGTATGTGTGTGTTTTTCTTTTAGCCAGGTTTTTCCTACGTAACCAAGGTTTTTCTGGAGCCCTAGCTCAGTAATATATATATTAATTAAAGGGAGAGAACCAGAATCTTGATTTCTCTTAGCTGTCAATATCTAAGCTGCAAGTGGAACAGTCCTTCAAAGCTGACCTAGTCAACTTTCTCATTGTAGTAAGACAAGGCCTTCTTAAATAATATTATTTTGGCTTTGTCCATCTCAGAAATTCCATCTCACAAAGGATGTTCAAATTTGAGGCAGAATGTAGGAGTTTTATTTGGTTTTAGGCTGTACTGTAATATCTGAGACCAAATATGGACAGATTTTCAGCCTAGAACTGGAGAAGTGGGGGTTGGGATAAAAAAAAGAGCCCTCCCCAACGGGAAGACTGACAAACCACAATGCCTGATCATATTCAAGTGGAACCTGCAGGTCAAAGCCATCTTTAAATTATCATACAATAGCTTTTCATAATGTGTACAGTCCATACAATTTTTATGAGTTCATTTGCTGGCTATAAAATATGCATAAGGAGCCATT